GTAAAAAAACTCCAGCTGACCAACATAAGTAAACACCTCCGCAAATCCCAGCAAAAAATACTGAGGAAACAGCCACCAAAATGTCAACTTTGTCGGCACCGAGCTCCTCCTATGGCGCTCCACGCCGCCGGCGATGGCAAAGGCCGGAACTGTGATCGCCAACCCGATCCCCACTCGCTGCAGAGACGTGAGCCCGCGCGGGTTCCCTGTGAAACGCTTAAACATTCCGACCCCATATCTTTCGTACAAAGGGACGAAGATAACCGCGTTTACTGCCGTAAAAACGGCGACCGATCCCGGCGGAACCGTGAAATCGCCGCCCATATGACGGTCCATGATTACGGCTTGAGAAATGAAAAGATTGATTTGGGCGAAAGCAAGGGGAAACGCGATTGTCGCCGCCCAAATTGGGAGCACTCTTAAGAACGATTTGAATTCCTCCACCTGCGTCACGGTACAGAGTCTCCACCGGCTGACTTCGAAGCTATCTCCGGCGACAGTCTTCACCGCCGCTTTATCCAAAAACATGAACTGATTTGTATGCTGGAGCTTCCTCGCGCCGTGGATGACGGATTCCTCTGTCATAACCTCGAAGAGCTGCTCTCTGCTCTCAACTTTCACTCCGTTCAATTGGTTGCGGCAAGCGGCGACGATGACTTGCAGAAAGCGAGTGAAGGGGCTGCCTCGAGGACGCTGATGGCGGAAGTAAGGGATGCCGGAGAGCAGGGCGGCGACGGAGGCCACGGTGGCGATGGCCGACATCCCAAAGCCCCAACCCCAGCCCTTGCGATCTTCGATGTAGGTGACAAGCGTGATGCCGATGAGGACGCCGACGTTTAAGGCGAAGAAGAACCAGTTGAAAAAAGAGTACTTTTTGCGGGACTCGTTAATGTCGGATTCGTCGAATTGGTCGGCGCCGAAGGAGGAGATGCAGGGCTTGATGCCGCCGGTTCCAATCGCGATCAGACTGAGCGCTCCGAAAAGAAAGTCATTTTGTCCTTTTGTTGCCGGCCGGCAGTCGCCGCCGCCGCCGTTTAGTTGGCATGGTGGGGGGCGGAATGCGTCGATGCTGGCCGCTAAGGTGAGAAGTACGATTCCCTGTTCAAGGGTTTCAACACAGATCAAGTACCAGGACAAGTTTAAAAAAAATCATTTATTTTGACGAAATATTATTATTCCCAAAATATATATATATATATATATATCTTCGGACTATATCACTAATTTTTTATAAATGAAATATACATTTTTCAAGCATAAATTTTTAAGAAAATTTATATGCATGCAACACAATTTTTATGTATTTTTAAATCTGAAATCTAGCTAAAATTTAATATTTATATTTATAACATTTAGATGTCGTAACTCTTCACATGAAAATATGTATTTTTTTAAAAGAAATAAGTAATAATATATAATATTTTTATTTAACATTAAAGTTTTGAATACAATGAAGATTAAGGTGTTAGATATTTGTGTGTGGTATGTCAAAATTCAATTTTTTAAATATTCGAGTGCTATGCATATGTAAAAATAAAAAATATGGGAGCGTTAGATACGTGAATATATAAGAATTTCGTGTTATGAATGTACATGCCCCAAGTCTTTATATCAATATGTAAATATCAAATTTAAGATATTAATATGTAAATGCATAAGAATTCTTGTTTGTAATTAAATCAAAATTATTAAATATTAAAAACATCTTGAAGGATGTATTTACTATAAGTGTCTCTTCCTATTCCACATCCATTAAAAATTAAAAAACTTTATTGTAGCCTTTGAAAAAATATTACATCAGCAGTTGAGAGAGTCGAGTCGTAGACCACATCATGTATTAAATTATTTAGTTTTTTCTTACTAAGGAGGTTAGAATGTAGACGTGGCAGACAGTGATTAGTGTCCTGATACCATTTTTAGATCGAGACTCCTAACGTACTAGGCTATGCTAGCATATAAATAGTTTCTAGAATAATCTTTGTATTCGTATAAATAGATATTAGTCTTGTCATTTAATGTATGAAAAAAAAAAATAACAAAGTCCTCTTCTTGGTTGCCCACAAAAGTGTCTCATTCATATTTTATTCCCCACATACATATTTATATTTTATCAATTCTATGATAAAACAATGAGAGATCAGCCTACCACGGCATAAACGGAGGAGAAGATGAGAATGGTGATGAAGCGGCCGAAATAAGCATCGGCGAGAAAGGCGCCGAGAATGGTGAGGACGAAGGCGGCGCCAACCCAATCGGTGACGTGAGTGCTCGCCTCCGGCAAGGCTTCATGCATCTCTTTCTCCAAGAACAGCACCATATTCACCGCAATTGCATAGAAAGCCATCCTCTCCGCCACCTCATTCACTAACAAATACAATCAATTTCTCATCATTCTATCTTCAAGACTAGATTATTACGCAATGAGTTGGTATGCATGTATATATATAAGAATGCGTCGGGCCTTGAACACCAGACCAGAAGGGACTTATGACGTTAAAATGAATGCTCTACCAGCTTACCGATGATGAAAGGCGCAGCTCTCCATCCACCAGTGGTGACCTTATCGGCAATCCTCCCGCGAAAATCAACGGCGTTGTTGCTCACCAGAGTGGTCGCCGACTTCACCGGTAGAGCGCCGGCCGCATCTGTTGTACCCATTGCCATTGCTCCTTATAACTCAGAGAGCTTTTATTATTATTTCAATTATTATTTGCGGAGCATTTCTCAAGTTCTCTTATTGATTTATAGAAATTAGCAACATTTATATTTTATTTTGACTTATAAAAAGAAAATTAAAAAAAAAAAAAGAAATTGAATAACATATTAAGCCCAGCAAGAAATCTTCTCAACATACGTTTAAGAAACTAATACGAACGAGAAAAGTAACATATTGTGGCGTCATTGGATGCGTAGGGTCCCCAATGTTCTCACTTCTTTGGTAAGTTGCATATGGTTCGATGGCGTGAATCGCATCATGCTGCTCTGCAGAAGATAGCGTGATGAGAATCGTGTCATTGTCCATACATACAAATAATGAATGTAATATTTTATCTCCCATCTGTGCGTCCTGAGTGACAAGTTGGTAGGCAGCTGAATTGTCAGCCGTAAAACCCCCCAGACGTGAATTCGATGCATACGAGAATAGATAGCACATATGGGGAGCAGTATTCTTAATTACCACCATTGATAGTATATATATCCTAAACCAGGTAATGATTCTTCAATTCGAAGGGGCATTTACATACATACCACCCAATTATGCCTGTAAAAAATGAACTTTAGGTGCTAGATATGCAAATACATAAGAATTCAGTGGTATATGTAAATCTTCGAGCTTTCAAATATTGTTATATATATATATATATCTTCATGCATATTTCTAGAATGATAGACACAATGTGAGGATATGGCAGAACCATATGACGGGGACCGCAAGCTGTTTGTTTCTGTCCCGTATCTTAATACTAAATTTCATTTTTTTTTGTATAGAATTAGGACCGGATATGTATATGTGGAGTCCGACCACCTTTTTTTTCTGATATATGACTTCAACCCAACAACATGAATATTTTTTAAAAAAAATATTATTGCCGCTTTAATGTGCAATTTTTCATGTTGCTATACTTAGGGTCTTTTTGGGGCAGCTTATAAGTACTGGCGGCGTTTTCAAAAAGCCGTTGTACCGTTTGGTTCGCGCGTTTCGCCAGCTTATCCGAAACTGTGCTTGAGTTTTTACACTAAACGCAGGTCGCGTTTCAAGATAAGCAGTTTTTCCTGAAACGCACAAGCTGCCCCAAACGGACCCTACTTGAGTTTTTACACTAAACGCAAGTCGCGTTTCAAAATAAGCAATTTTTCCTGAAATGCACAAACTGCCCCAAACGGACCCTTAGACTCACTCACTGCTCATCCTCAACCATTTGTACAGACCTTCAAAATAGAATTAAAAAAAAAATCGCATTTTTAGCCAATTCTAATGATCATAAGCCAACAAAAACTGCCAAAGGCTTTATTAATTAAGTAAATGACAAAATAATAATAATAATAATAATAATAATGAATATTATTTGCTCTCCACTGAGTTCCAGAGCTATAAACAACATGGCAGAGAAAATTGTGGCAGAGCTTGAGAGATTTTCCTCAAAATTAGTATTTCTACTTCAAATGCCTCCCTTTTTTGACTAATTTCAAATTTTCTAAAATTTATTTTTTATTTTTCTCTAATTATTGTAGGACATGAACTTGTAATTTGACTTGGCTTCTTGATGATTTAATGCACCTTTAGTCAAAGAACAAAGGTCAAAAATCAAAATAATAATCTATAATTACTAATTTCTTATTTTATATATATATTCATTCATGGTGCTTTATATATATATATATATATTAAAGAAAATAAAAAGGACTAAATTCATTTGAAATTTCTCAATTTTGACTTAAATCTATACAAAATCTAGCTGTCATTGTTGTTTGTTTAGGTGGCATTTACATACAAACCAACCCATGTTCTTAGGGCTGTCAAAAAAGCTCGTTGTTCGCGAACAGTTCATGTTCGGTCCGTCAACGAGGGTTCGTGTTCGATTCGTTCGATAAGTAAACGAGACAAACACGAACAAATTTGACCGTTCACATAAAAGATATCACTATTTTTACTTATAAATCAAAAGTACGCATTTTTTATCATGAAATATTGTACTTAAAAAATATGTTTGTGTGGATCTCAAGGAGAACCAAAGTACAGAAGGGAGAAAATATAACAAAAGAGGATTCGTTGACAAAAAATAAGGGAGTCCATTTATCCTATCAATTGTAGTCATTTGAGCCAGTAGAATGAAAAAAAAAGAGCAATCTAACGATATGAATCTAAACCAATCCGACGAATGCAATAAATATAGAACATTCGTGTTGACAACTACAAGAAAGCTGACAAGAAATCGACATGTTTTTAGTTAGATCTGACCCAAAGAAATAATCTAATTCCTCAATATCACTAGCCATCTGATAGATGCCCCCTGAGGCTTTTCATCTGAGACAGATAATTGATAATACAATAAAGTTTTTTAGTCATCCCATAGCCTCTTCTCGTTAGGGAACGGGCTACTTCTTATACTGTTATTTTCCCTCTGCCAACTACTTTGGTCTCGCTCCACTGATGGAAGCTTCTCATTCAGAGATCGAGGGTCTACACCAGGCTAGATCAATCAATTGACAAAGCATAGCCGAACGAATTAGCCATGCCGACTAGAAGCTAATTAAGTTCAGCCCATCAACAACTCGACCGTACCAGCTTTACTGAGTTGGGGCCGAACAAACGTAGCCTACTGAGTCAGAGAGCAATAGACTCATACATATAAAATGCCTAGAATATAATGTACATCTCCCATTAAAGTAAAGACAAAAATGTAATATTATCATGTTGTACTATCTTCGTTGTAACTAAAGAGATCATTTCATTTACAAAGAAAACCAAATTTTAGCCCCAAGAAGTCAGAAAAAATAGACAATACATGTTACTGTTTATTACTGTCCACTCCTCTCTCTCACTCCCCCTACTTTCTTATGCTCTACTTCTTGAGATGTGACTCACAGACAAATCATAACTCTAACATATATGTATTTGTACAAATAGAGGTATAGACTAAGGGTCTGTTTGGCGCAGCTGTAAATTATTTATAATCTGCTGATAAACAAATTATTCTGATAATCTGATAATCTACAGATTATCAGAATAATCTGGCTTGCTATTTGAGACAGCTTGTTCAGAGTAGCTTATTGGTGGTTAAATGACATTCCTGCCCCTGTCAGATGAAACTGTTTGGGGCAGCTTATTCAAAATAGCTTATTGGTAGAAAAGAAACATATAGTACAAACACATACAATATACGAAGAAAATATCAAATAAAATACATTTAAGAGCAACTGAAAACCAATTGAGAGAGTAGCAATAAGCGCCTACATTCTTTTAAAGCAATTTCTGCATAATTAGCAAAGTCCAAGAGGTTTCTAACCAAATTATTAACCTAATAATGATACAGACTTCAATATTATACTAAAACTCCATCAAAAGATAACAATATACGTTCAAATGTCGTGGAAACCCACAAATAGCAGAAGGCAAAAGAAAGATTTATCATATGAAACATTGAAAACAGTTTCGAGCCATATATTCATCTCCAACATGAAATTTACGAATGAACAGATTAATGAACAGATAAATGCCACCAACTGTAAACATATTGCGAGCTATATATGCATCATATTATCATAGCTTTACAAAACTATTGTGATCAAACTTCACATAACATCTCCAAAATAAATTGTCTACTAGGAATGAAGCACATGATACACAACTTTTGGAATGAAGCACACAGACAGGAAATGATCAAAGCCTCTAATAGCTTTGTTTTGAAATGCAAATAATAAAGTCATTTCCCCAACTGTAAAGATCAAAGCCACGATTTGATGGAACTAGCAACCAAGAATTCCAGAAAATTAGACACAACAAACTAGCTAATTGCAATGAAACAGGGAGAACCAAGCTTCAGAACAACAGGGAGAACCAAGCCACATCAAACTACCTAATTTTCTATTTCCAATTTTCGGATCTGTAAAGCTCAATTACCTATTTCCAATTTTCAGAATAACTCAAACCGAAATGTATTGCAAGGCATATAGAACCGAAACTTGGCATATAGAACGACAGGGAGAACCAATTTCAAAACAACAGGAGAACCAATTTTCAGAACAACTCCAATTTTCAGAACAACTGTAAACCAAAATCCCAAAGGAGTGTGGCGTATATAAGATCTATTTGCAGAGCACTGTAATATGTGATCCATTTCTAGAGCAAGATCTAAAAATTCCTAAATGTAAGAGCTAAAAATCCCAAAAAAACGAAAAGTGAGGGCATAAAAATCAGAGAAGATTTATGAAGAACATTTCTATAGCATATAAAAGAACAAAAGCTTTGTAGTTACCTTGTAGGCCTAAAAAGAAACCACAGGAATACCAAATACAACATTCGAGCCGCATAAACGAACCAGAGAAGATCAAAGGAGGAGAGGCGGGGAAGAAGTACAAACAGAAGTTTACGTACGAGAAGATCGGTAAAGGAGATCGCAGGGAAGAGCGCGAGAGATCCACAGGGGCACAGGAGGGAAATAAGCCCTAGCCAACGCTGAACGGAACCCCTCCCCCGCGTTCGATGGAACGAATAATATCGCACCCGCGATTACGGGTGATTTGAAAACTCAGCCCTAAACGCCGAAACAAACGCTGAGGCGGTGTTTTTAAAACGCCGCCGCAGCAAAATAAGCTGCCCCAAACGGGCCCTAAGTGGTAATTACCTAAATATTCCTATTTTTTATTTTCGATTGACATATAAAATCATGTTAGGTCAGCAAGCCTCCAAATATTAAACTCCATTGATAATATTAATGTCATGAAAATCAATGACTTTTTCTTTTTTTCCTTTTTTTTTTTTTTTGTTAAATATCAACATAAAATTTGAGTGATTGTAAGTCGATATTTATAAATTTTGCTGTGTAAATTAAAATTTTAAAAATCCAAGCTTAAACCGGTTTAAAATTAGTCTCAGTTGGACAAATATAAACCGGTTTAAATTTTTGATTAATTATTTGTTTACTTATATAAATATTATAATT